GGGCCAGCGGCCCTGGCCGGGCGGGCGACACCGGGAGCCTCGCGCCCGCCCCTCAGCCCCCTCCCAGTCCGCCCCGGGGGCGCCGCCGTGTCCCGCAGCGAAGCGCCGCTCCCCCAAACCTTCGGGGCAGGCAGAAACTTCAAAACTTTTAAGCCCTGCCTGGCGCTGCCCTTGCAAGCTGGGCCCGGAGCCTCCAGCAGCCCCCGCCAGCTTCCCCTCCCCTCCCGTCCCGCCTCGGGGCAGGGTCCCACTCCCCACTCCCCATCCAGGGGAGGGGACGAGCTCAAGGACTTGTGCCCCATGAGGGCTGCCAAGATGCGTTTCTTCAAGCAAGCCGGCGCAGGTGGCTGGGGCAGGCACAAGGAGGTGGACTTGATCAAATGTAAAAACAACCGTCTCAGCCTACTCTCCGCTCCTTACTCAGGGCTATGTACTCAATACGTGGTATTATTTCACATTTTAAATTCGTAAATACCCGTTTCTGATGAAATCCTAACTCTTGTGCCTGTCCAATTCATTGCTAACAACCTTCACTTATGTAAAGATCCGCTTGGAAAAGGGAACCAGGAATAAGGAACCAATGTGCAGGGGGGCTGGACCCAATGTTGTAAGGTCCCTTCCAACCTCTATGAAACTTCAGCCTTGTGCCGGGTACTTCCCGCAGGAACTGGGATTTGGCTCTGTGTAAGCACCTGTGACTGCGCCATGCTGCGTGCAACAGCTGCAGCCAGGGGGCTTTCCATGTCAATTCCGAACCCTTTGCTCTGTGTAGGCCTAAGCTCAGTTTCATCCTTCCCAGTTAAGCCAAGCTGCAAAGTTTCAACAGCTGAGGCCCAATTCACATACTTGAAAATTTAATATCCAAGTGGAGCCTCATTAAACAACTAGGCCCAGTATCGCTTAAAAATGTCTTATAAGTGTAATGGTAAGGTAAGGGAAAAGGATTATAACTTAAAAAAAAAAAGAAGTCTGAGGTTTTGAATACAACAAAAGTTAGTTTTGGGAGAAGACTTCTCTATAACATCAATAGAAGTTTACTAAATTATACTAAGGTTAACTTCACAGTAAAAAATAGCATGTACTACAAGAAGTAAATGTTTGTGGTTTGGTCTTTGTGCCACTAACCACTGTTTGTCATTTGATCATATTATAAACTCTTTCAATCTTAACATTAGAAAATATCAACCTCACAAAGAGAAAACATGCAATTTATTTAACAAACAAACAAACATTTTCATCACTTGAAGGAAGGATAAGGAAACCCTGGAGGGAAAACAGTCCTAAATGCCTTTATAAGGTTCAAAACATTGCAAGTTTATGGAAAATATATGGTAATATTTTTCTTGGTTTAAAACACTTTATCTAGAGGAGTATTAAAAAAGGTTTTAAGACCGACTCTTCTGAAGCTGTTCTGTTCTTGCACATAATCAATCGATAGACACAGCCTCAGTTCAGGAAATATGTAAAAAAAAAAAAAGCCATTTTTATAGATTATATTATTAGTTTTAAGGAACAGATCTTAAACATCATATAAAAAAAGTTAAGACTGAAGAAATGTAACTCAAAACCTGAAAGTTGCAGAGGGTGTGATGTTCAGTATATCTTAATTAGCACTAATATATTACTTGTTAGAAATCACAGTGCTTTTAATCCATGTTTTCCTGTGACTGTAATAATCATAAATCCCTTTTTCCAATCAATGAACTCTAAATCTTCTATTTTGCCAAATATTTATTCTTACTTTAACAGGATTTTTTAAAAATCATCCCATGGGTGGCCATACTGAACATACACTGGAAGTCTATAAGCACGGAGGTGTCATATTGAACTCCAGTAACCATTTCAGTGCAATAGTATTTATGTAGAGGAATCAGCCTGTGACTTTTAAAATAATTTGAGGCTGGGAGGCTTTGCTTGAAAGAGAAATTTTGAGCAGTTCATTTTTATCAAATCTGTTGGGGGGGGGGGAAAAACCCTCAAATATACTTATTCATCCGGCTTACTTTAAAAAAAATAATGGATGCAAACCATACCATTCAAATTCAGCTACAGAAATGGAATTTCTGTATTCAATAGAAATATAATGCTATTGTATTGGTAGCTAATTCATAAGAGTCAAATTGCAGTCGTGCTAATTATCCAACAGACATTAAACTGGTTTAGATACTCAGAAGCTGAGTTTTTTTTTTAAATCTCTTTTTATAAAGAATACCAATCCCAAGGTCACTTTGAAAGCATGCCAGATAAATGACATTGTGCTTCAAGGATTTGATCTCCTATCTCTACAATCTAGGTGCTTGAGCCAGGGAGGTACTGAGCTCTTCCGGGTAGGTGTTGAATGCTCTCAACTCCCATTGAAGATAATGGAGGTTGAGTCATTCACACTTCATAAGAAGGCAGCATGTAGAACAAATCAGAACCAGTAAAAGGAAAGCTCTTGTTTCCATTCATAAGGAAAGAACAGTGAAGGCATTTCAATGTTTATTGTTACCCACAGCACAAAGTAGTAAATAATCTCAAAGCTAATTAAAATAAATCACACTAGAATAAACTGCAATGTATGTGAAACATTTGTGTGGTGGCTAACTCTTACCAGCACTATATTTAACACATATATTCTGGAATATATGGTCAAATAATAAATGACATAAATGCATCTGCTTATACCAGTTCTAAAACATCCCCTTACTGTCTAAAAGAGATTTAATACTTTGGTGTCAAATAAAAATGATAGCTTTTGCAATGTAAGGAAAAATTGAGAATATTAAACTCTGCTATTGATATTATATGCCGTATGTTAATAGCATCAAGTGCAGTAGTAAAGAGGAGGCAACTACATCCCCAAACTCTGACATGCAAATAATGCTACTCTAACTTTTCCCTGTTTTTAAACCCTAATTTAGCTGTTAGTCAGCTGCTTTTCCTTTATTTTTTCATGACTGAATTAATGGAGTGTCTTGTAACCTCATATATATTCATCTATCCACCCATTGTTACCTCTGTGGAAGTCCAACCTATGGAAATTAAAGAAGGCTTTTAGAAAGTATGTGGGCAATTTACTGCTTTCCCCAATACTACCTGTTGCAACACACTGGCATACATAAATTACAGCAATTCCTTGTTTTCTACAGAAAATGAATGTCACTTTTAAATGGAATAGCCAAGTCAGAAATAAGAAAGCAGTGAATAATCTAACACCTGAATACAACTGTATCATTAATTTTACTTGATAACAAAACTATAATACTTTAACAAATCAATATCAAGTACTGACAACACTTATGTAATTTTCAGCTCTATGTTATGAAACAGGGAAAATAAGTGTTGGTCATCAGCCAAACATTAAAATGAAGGTCTGACCCAGCAGTGTACCTAAGGCAGGTGGAAGGGAGACAACTGGGAAAGCAGCCCCAGTGCTGCCTCAGGGGGTGTGGTGGAAAAAAATAACCATGATTGCAGTGCCAGCTAATAATGCCACTCCTTTTGGCACCACAGCAGCCAATGCTAACCCGGGCATCACACAACTGCTCAGGGCATGGAGTTGCTTAGCTACACCTCTGATCTGACCCTGCCAGCAGATTCATTTGGGAAGACCCTTATATCTCTGCAGAGCCCCACTGACTTGTATATTTTCCCATTTCCAATAATAAATAAGCACCCAATTATCCTCAAATATTTGGATTTGCAATGGGAAGGCAAAATGCTGGGAACACAGCTGGATTGAGGAAACTGTCACATTATTAATAACACCCAATGTGCTTTGTTTGGAAAACTGAGTTTTGTTGATCAAGTATAATGGGAATCCATTGTATTCATACCAATCAAAAATGGAACCACTAAACATTCTATTGCACAAGATAATTCTTTATTCTGAGAAAGTACTAATTTAAAAAAACCCTTAAAGTTTAAAATTCATGTTTCTTCTCAGTTATAATTAAAATATGCTAAAAATAACCTCTTTTAGATCTTACTTTTGTGCAAATTAAATGTTTTCTAAATTATGTAAAATAATCATTTAGCTTTGATTGTTAAGTTTCGATCATATATTGTTGCTGTTCTTTATTTTCTAGTAAGAGCAATAAATACCATACAAAAATATATATTTTTCAATCAGATTTTTACTATCAATGATTATCTTTCACCTGGCCTTTTCTTTCTCTGATTTACTGGGGAAGGGTAGGAATACAGTTAATCCTTCCTTACCTCCCTCTCACTTTTGAGACAGGATCAAGGGGATCCTATGATTGTGGTTCCCAAACTCTGTGGGTTAATGAATCTTTGTCAACTCCTGGAATTTCTGAAGGACCATCATTCACCCTTATCATAAAACTTTTAACTGAGGGTGTGAGCAAGTGGTGCAATATGGGGATAAGCCACCTTGGTTTCATGGAACACAGTTGGGAACCAGAGCCTTATAGGAATTATTTTCCCATCCCCAGTGACCTCTCTGTAATGTACCTATCTGTTAGCACACAATAGCCTTGTCTACTTTTTTTAATATCAGCACCGTTGCAGGGTGGCATTTTCTTTCTTATGCTTGCTTACTTTGTGTGCTAATGAAGTTAACTCTAAGAGAACCTATACACGAGCAGGGAGGCTGCTCCAATGTTCTATAATTGGAGAGAGTCGCAGCAGGCTCGATTAATCAAGTCTGTTGGAGCATGGTAATTACTGCACTCTAGCATCTCGTATACGTGTCCCCACACTTAAAAATGACAGCAGGAGTGCTTTAACTAATGCTCATCGAACAAGCTTTAAAGCGCCCCTGCTGCCATTTTTAAGCATGGGGACACTGATATATGAGACGCTCTGGGTGCTTTAATTAAAGTGGTTCTCAGAGCCACTCTAATTAAAGCACCCCTCCCCCCAGCCGAAGTACATGTATAAATGCCCTAAAGTGTCACCCTGTAAGGGTGCACCAACAGAGATTTTTCAGGCATATCGGCTGAAACTGATTTGATTTCCGATACATAGCTCTTTAGCTTGAAGAGCTGTGTCCAGCTGGTAAGTCTGGTGTGGTGGAAGGGGAGGAGAGGGGGGTGGGGGGGCAGATCAAGGTCCCTGTGGTGAGGGAGGGAATGGGGCTGGGGCAGGCACTGACCAGCCAGGACAGGGAGGGTTGCAGGACAAAGCCACAAGTGGCTCGTTCAGGGCCAGGTGCCTGTGCTCCCCAGATCTGCGTGGGGTGGGCGCAGGACGGAGGTGCAGCTTGTTGGGGGTACACGGGAAGGGAAGCAGCTTCCACCACTGCACGTGGCTCATTCAGTGCTCATCTGGCAGCTCCCACCATTCATCCGCGAGAGGGCACGGGGGAGGGGACGTATGCCCCCAAATCTGCCCAGCCGGGAAGAGCCCGGCCCCAGCCCTGCACAGATCAGGGGGCACAAGCCTCCGCTCACTCCCTGTGCACCAGATGAGCACCGGACGAGCTGCCACCCCGCTTCCCGCAGCCCCCCCCGCAATGAGCTGTGCCTCCGTCCTGCACCCGCTCTGGCCCCAGCTGGGCAACCCCTGTCCTAGCCCCTGCCCCAACCCCACACCCTCCCTCACCAAAGAGGGCCTTGATCTGCAACCCCACCACATCCCTTCCCTTCCCCTACACCAGACTTTCCAGCTGCACATAGCTCTCCATGCTGCTGGTTCTGCTCCTCACTGCCTACATGCTGCACTGCAGCTGCACGCATGCATGGGCATTTATCAGACAAATTATCATCCACATCGGGCCAATTTTCACTACAGAAAATTTTCTTTATATTGGTGCCGATCTGATATCGGACCGATGTATCAGTGCACCTCTACTAACCTGGCAAACAAATGCGCTGGTGCATGTTTGAGAGGAGTGCATAATGTCATCATGAAAAAGACTCTTTCATTTGTCTCTCTTCCTTGGTCAGAACGAGACACTCTTTTCTTATAATGTTACATGGCACTCTTAAGAGCTATTCTATTTGAATTACGGGATACAAATTCAAATGGACCTTTTTGTGGTCAAGATGGGACACAGTATAAGTCCTGAAAGAACTGATACTGAAGTTCATATGCTAATCAAAATGAAATCACTCACACTTAGGTCATGGACAGGCATTCATTTCTAACACTGCAAATTTTGAAGTGGTAGTACCCTTCCTGAGAGGGAGCATGCAGGCATTCCATCCCACAGATGCCTGCTGTCCCCTGCTTCCCCTACAATGGGAAAGGCATGGGTTGCAGCTGCTCTTTCTAGTCCCTGGGAGGAGTGAAGCAGTGAGGCTCTCCATGCCATCCCTAGGCCAGGGCCACATGCTGGCAACTTGACTCCTCCCAATCATGAGAAGAGTCAATCTGCTGGAAAATGCCCCCATGCTTTCCCCAAACTGGGGAAGACACAGGGGAAGCTGCTGCTTGACTCCTGATCACAAAGGAGTGGTGTTTATTCTAGCCAGAGAAACTCTCATGCAGGGGAGATGTTCCAGGTGGCAAAGTGAAAGATCCTTCTCACTGATGGGACATGTTTCCTCCAAAAGAAACTGAATGATCACATGTATGCTGGCAATTTCTACTGGGAGAGTGGCATTTCTCCTGCTAGAAATGCAGTGCCCACCTGAGACCTCAAACTTGCTTGAAACATCAAATGAAAGAGAGAAAAGACCCAAAAGTATACCCTAGCTCAAGTGACCATTTCAATTCCTGGACCAGAATTGTTTATACATTTTTGCAAACTGTGTCTACGCAAGTATTATCTCAAAGCAGTATTTGGGCACATACCTTTTTTCTGTAAACAGAAAATAGGATGAATCAGCTGAAGAGCAGTGAGTAATTAGGGGAAGTGGGATCAATCTGTTCTTGCTCCTTTCCTCCTACTTGGAAAGGATATTAGGGATGTGAAAGGTTAAAGGATTAATCATTTAACCCATAAGTGCAGTGATAACAGGTTAGCTTACTGGTTACCCTTTAGCTCTGGGTGGGCTCAGTCTGGCAGGGAAGGATAGAAGGGAAGCCATACAGTGCCCCAGCAGGAA